TGTGTATAAGAGACAGCCTCGGGCGGCGAGACCCGCCGGGCTCCATGGGCGCGATGGCGGGAGCCGCTTCCTTCCGCCGCCGGGCCCGAGAGCCGGCGGGGCGAGGCGGGAGATAGCGCGTCCCCTGGAGGCTCGGAGGACTGCGGCGCCGGGGCTGTGTCCGGGGCCACCGGTGAGCGGACCTCGACAGCCGCCGGTGGCTCCCCCAGCCGCTCTCTCTGACCCGCCCCCCAGGACCGGAGAGAGAGTAAAGTGAAGCGGCTCATGGACTGAGATAGACAGGGAGGTCGCTCACTGATCACAGTCATGGGTAACATAGGCTCAACTTGGAGAAAATTCATTTATTTGCCAATTAATATTAGTCCCATGTGTGGATATCTGCTCGGGTGGGGGCCCCTCGGGCCTCCTGGGGATCACTTGCTCCAGCAACTGAACCACCTCTTCCCCTCCTCTCTCTCTCCCTGACCATGCTGCTCACAGGTCATCCCCATCCCTCACACATTTTCCCCTCTCCTCACACTGCATTTTGCCCTTTCTTCACACGTTTCCCCAGAGGCATCGCCAGCATCACTGATGGGATCAGCCGTGTCCCACAGTGGGGCTGTTGGGGCCATCTGGAACCAGCCAGAACCATCTGGAAGTGGCTGCATCTGGCAGGGGGTCAGCCCCATCCCCTCCCCACCGAGCCCCTTGCAGCCCCCGCAGCTGGTGCTCTGTGCCCTCCCACATGTCCTGCAGCCCCCACAGCAGAAGCAGAGGTGCTGGGGAAGGGGGTTTCTCCCCTCAGTGCCTGTCACTATTTCTCAGAGCTTGGGCTCCCACAGCGCCCGGCACGGTGCTGCCAGGCTGTGCAGCAGTCCGGCCGGGCTGAAAAACAAGAAACCTCCCTGCAACGTGGCCTCACACCTCTGCTGAGGCGGCTGGATTTGCTGCCTGGGGAGGTGTGAATGGACCTGATGGAGAAACACACCAAAAGTTCAAGTTTCACCTCAAGCCCGTCTCTTGTTGCTGCGAGATAGCTTGCTGGAGTCACTGAGCCTCAAGAAGGAAAAATACAGCTTTCCCCCCACCGAAGTCCCTGGTTCCCACTGTGGTTTCCCAATAATAGTCCTTTGACAAGATGCCAATATAGGCAGATGAATGCAAAAACCATTCCCCTCCATTTTCCACTGAATGGTTTAATTTTTGCTTCCTGCCTGATTATTTCCTCCTGAATTGAGTCTTCATCCTGCAAAGGGATCAAGTGATTTTGGTCAGCGGTGCCTCTCCGTGGCATGCAGGGGGGATGAGCACTCACAGTCAGCATGAGGGGCAGCGGGCTGTGCTGTGGCAGCGCTTTTTCCCCCTGATTTCCAAAAAACATGTATTTTGGAGGCTACTCGGACTGCCTGATTATAACATAATCCCAGGATGCCACATCCTGTGGCTTTCAATTTATGGGCTGTCACCCCTTTGTTTAACTCAGTCTTTCTTTAAAATAGATGTGCTTAAATTGCTTGGGGAAAGGCTCTGATCCAGAATTTGCTTTTGTCACCCACTGTGATTACAAGACCCAGAAATGTCAAGACTAATCTCAGTTCACGTTTCTTTTCAATACTGGGATTTTAGCTGTCACAGGGCGGGGGATGTCCTGTTCCTCACAGGGGCACCAGCAGAGCCTCATCCATGGTGAGACTCGTGTTCTCCCCAGCTGAAGCCTCTTAACAGCCCTAATTGACTGAGTGTCATCAGCTGGGTGTGTGTGGTCCTGAGGGGCTGCATTTTCTTTTCCTCACTTACAAACGGAGGGTGAGGAGGGGTTGTTTTTCCTTATTAGATATTTTCCTGGGTTTAAGTTAGAGTTTTTAACGTTACGCATCTGTCTACCTGTCTTGAAACCATGACTGTGATGTTCCTGGTTTTTGATTTGTGTTTTTGGTCTTAAGTTTGAGGTGTTTTTCCCTTTGCTCTGGGTGGGACCTTAGTGCATCTCTAGTGGAGCAGCTGTGCATGGCAGGAAACCAAGAAAGCAGCTCATGGGGACTGTCCTGAGCTCTCTGTAGTGACTCTTTGTAGCAGGGCTGTGAGAAGGTAGACAGCTGCTCTTGAAGCTAAAATAATCGGTTTGAGCTGAGCAGTGGCAAAACTTGGCAAAACCAGGGGGTCCTGTGAGCAGAAATAAGGATGGATGTGGGAATGTGAGCTCAGAGACTGCTAGGGAGGAAGAGTATGGGTGTGAGGCACCAGGTAGCGGAGTAGGATCCAGCCCTCATCACCTGGGTGGAACATGCAGCCATAAGCAGCCACGAAGGAAGTTGATGGTGGAGGTCAAGGGTGCTTCTCGCTCCCCTGTGGGACACTGCCCTCACCCCGAGGGGAAAAGGACTTGATTTGACTGGAGACACACAACACTGCATCGGTGCTGTGCATCAGGACTATGGACTCTCAGAGCAGGTAAGTGTGCTGATTTTGCCCACTTCTCTCTCTCTCTCTTTTTTTTTTTCCTTTTTTCTCTTTGGATAGGAAAAATGTTGATAAAATGCAAAAAATCTCTCAGGATTGGAAGTGTAGGCTGGCTGCTTCTTCTGAACAGGCAGCCTGATCCTGGAACTCCCTCCTGCTGCTGACCCTGGTGCTCCAGGGGAGAACAGAGCTGTGGTGCAGGGGGATGGGTTTGAGCCCTTTCAGTCCTTTCTCGTTTCCAAGTCATGTTTGTGCTGTCACTGTAACCATAAATTCGTTGTGGTTAACTCCTGGATGAACTTAGTGTAAATAAACTCAGTATTTTTTTTTAGAAAATAATAAAACCATGGCCTTGGGATTGTTTTTCTAGTTTCTTGTAGTGCGCAAGGCGCAGTCAGGTGGGAATCGCGTGCTCTGTACTTGAACTAAGCAGCTCTGCCAGGTACAGCTACCTGCTTTAATCTCTGTGTTAACAACTCCTACAGTTCCTGGCATGGTGTTTGGAAATATTTAAGTAACTCTGCAGAAACCAGCTGAGTCTCAGCTGTTCGTGGCTCAGACTTTATCTATTTGCCAACAAATGGTAACACTTAAGAGATGGGTAGCATTGCCCATCCACTTCCTCTGTTGCAACCCATGAAGCATGTCCTGATACTTGGGGGGGTTGTATGTAGATGCTTTATGTTATTTGGGACAGAAAAGGATATTACAAACTCTCTAAAACTGGCAAGTGCTTCAGTTCTTGTGTGGTGTTATCACAGTTGCTTAGCTCTGAGTTAGGCTCATATCACTGTTCAACAAACCTGTTATCACAGGTTAGCTTAGTTCAGCATGAAATTGTCTAATTGTTGTTGTACTTAATTATATTCTAGGGGAAAATATCTTAACTCTGAGCTTCGAGACATCGTATGAGCAACTTAAACATCTTACAGTAGAACATAAGAAGGGAGTGTTTGGCAATCAATTTCAACGGGATTTGGCAAACCTAAAATATATGCTAACATACTTGGTTTTGGATGAAAAGTAGATAACGATGTCAGGTGTTACAGCTTGTCTAGGAGGTGTGGGATTAGTCTGTATTCTAGCCTCACCTAGGAGTTTTTGGCAAATTCCTTGATGCTTTAGGATGCTTGTGATGCCTGGGATTGTTCCCACAGTGTGGTATAGCTGGGAGTTTGGGCAGGACCATGGAAAGAGACTTTTGCCCAAAAAAGAGACTACTGAGGAAGATTTATGAGCTAAACCTCTGTTGCCACTTGTTAGGGCTGGGTTTGGGAGGTGTAAGAAGGACGTTATGGAGAAAAAAAACCCACCTGTCTCTGAGTACAGGATTTTGGAGATTAAGCAGTTAATACTTCTACATAACCAGTGTGTATGCTATGGTTCACTGGCATCTACCTTTGCCTTCAGATGGCTGAGAAATTGAGATTAAATTTTGCCTTCTCTGTTCCGATAAGTTTGTGGTAGAAATCACCTTGGTGTGACTATCCATGGACTTCAGCACAACTCTTGGGGCTCTGCTCTGCTGCAGGAAAACTGATATGGTATCGTTATGCAGGCTTGTGGTATACAATAAGCTAGTTAAAGCCCCAAGTAATTATCTGAATCTAGTTTTTCAAACACCGCTATGTGGATTTCTAGAACTGCTGTCTGCTAGTTGTCTAAGGATTTATTTGAAATCATTTACTGGAACCTGCACATTGTTAATTACATGTGAAAAGCCAAGGAACCACAGACCAAATCCAGCAAGATGAATTAAAATAGTCAGGAGTCTTTCTTACCTCAGTGATGTGCTGCACTAGGCTGGGGGAAATGCTGAGACGTTTCTGTCTGGAGAGAAAGGCTGAAGCTTTTCTCATTTCCCCAATTTGCCTTGGCATCCTGCTCACGGTTCACTTGAACAGATTGAAGATTTACACTGGGATGCCTGCCTTGGGGTAAAGGATCCTCACTGTTTAGACTTCAAGGCTACAGATTATGCTTCTTTCCCAAATTTCATAACCCCTCCTGCAATGTGTTTGCACTCACCAGGTGCTTTGAAATGTCTTCCCTGGGCTTTGGTCTAGAGAAGCACTCAAAAACCAGCTTGTTGCTGGGCTTTCCATGAAAGGAGATGCCTGGTAGGGACATGCTTTTTTGTTAGACAAGCGACTTATTTGGTACTCCCGGGGTGTCTTTGGCTTGTGCTAGGGACTGAGAAGGAAGAAATATTAAGGCAAGGAACTGGGGGATCAAGGATATGCTCTGTGGTGTCTCATTAGCTTGTGAAGCTCCAGTTCCTTACCTGTTCTGGGCATCCCAAGCTTTAAACAAAATGGGATTAACAGTGTGTTGCTGGTAAGGCTGGGTTTGTAACGATGGTGAGGCTGGGAGCAGTGGGCAATTTAGGTGCTAAGGAAGGGTGAAGAGCTGCTTGGTATCTGCACCAGCAGCCCTCCAGACCACTGAACCTTCTTCTGTGTTGCTGCCTGGGTTTTGAAGGTCTTTGCACTGATTAATTGGAGCACTGACGTGTGCTCCTCTGGGCTCTTAAGTTTAATTCAAGTGCTACAGCAAGAGGTTAGAATAATGAAGGTATCTTAACAGCTCCAACAAACAAATCAGCCTTGTGAACACCAAGTCCTGTCTACAGCACCATGATGGTGACAGGTCGAGACAACTGCAGTTAACAGCACTACAGCGTGTTGATTTGTTCTCTGTATGCAGGGCTAAAAAGTATGTTGCTTTCTTCCTTTGCTTGTGGGAAGCAAGTTGCCAGCATGGTTACTGGATGGGGTGGGCCGGGATGAGTTTCCAGCCAGCAGCTGGCACAGAGCAGGCACTGAGGAGTGGAAGTAAGGTTGGTTGTGATTATGCCTTAGGCTAT